TTTAATTATTTAGTGTCAGAAAAATACAAAGTTATCATTTTTTACCCTTTCCAATTTGGTCAAAATTCACTTTATTGGTCAACTAACGGTCATATATTTGAATCCCAGCGGCTAAGTTTTCAAAGGTTCCGATCCTTTGTTGGCATAAAATGAAGGTTTGGATAAAATCTGTGGAAAAAAAGTCAAAGGTTAGGGACTCTAGTTGCAATTTTCCCTAGTTTATATTGGGGGTTGCTGTCCATTATCTAGATAAATTGGTAATCATTTGCAAGTTTGTTCTATTTTATATTTAAGTCTCAATGCAAACTTCATAACATTTTTCTCATTTATGATTTGATAACTAATTTTTAGATATGTTCAATGAAAAGGGGAAAATAAGTAGTTCTGAATTTTTGCTTTTATTCGAATATCAAATGTGCTTTTGTTTCTTCTAAAGCCAATATGTGATTTGAAATGCTAATATGAAGTTTAATTCTATTTATGGCACCAACACAATAAATGAATATAATGCATCATGTAGTGACTCCAACTTGTCCAAAAATTCTAATATGCACGCTTGATGGATCATGCCAAATGATGGAAAATCTATGGCCCAGGGACGGAGCTAAGGGAACGCGCGCGCACACACACACACACACATTTTTTCTGTACTTAGCTAATTAATATATATAAAGAGGAAATTTCACCGGTTAACTATTTAAAATTAAAAATCCATACTTTACTAATCAATTTTATATTTTCCATTTATGCTGTAATATAATAGTATAATTAAAAATAATCAAATCACTTAATCCATTGTTATCATTCAATTACTTAACGGATTATTAGCAATTCAATCCCAATAATTTCCCAAATTCACGAATTCTACCACAAATTGATCACTTTATTAATTAGTACGTGATTATACATGGATGAAGGCAAACAAAAGAACTGCAGAGCTAGTAGCTCGGATTTAGCCCAACCAGCCATCCGAGGAGAGCTGATAGTAGTAGATTATGTTCAGCGGCTCATCAATAAGTTCATCTCTTGTCATGTTGTTAGAAAGATTCGAATTGTGTACCATAGATTGGTTTTTCTATTCTCTTTGACAATGGCCGAAATTTTTATTCCCAACATTGCTAGAAGAGACCTTGCTTGTTAACTAAACAAGAATGAAAATCAGAAGTTTTGTCGGGACATCAAACTGATGCTGATCTCATCTCGCGGAGTGAGGAAAGCTGCGAAGGGAAGGGATGCAAGAAATGCATAACTTCATATTTTGCAAAACAATTGTCCACTTATCTTGGTGATGCATATGCTAGTAGGTGTGATGTCTATATATATAAAAATCAACTACGAGATTAGCAAAGTTTGACGCATGCACTAGAAATCTAATAAACAGCAGAATGACATGACACACACCACATTTTGAGTAATTTTAAAATCACATAGAGCATAAATAATAGGAAAAATTGCAGTAGCAGTCCTTCACCTTCTTATTTTTTGCAGACTTTACCCTAACCTTCATTTTGTGCAAGCGAAGGTCCATAGCCTTTCATAAATATGCACTTAAGGTCCTTCTAAATGGAAACCGTCCAAAAAATCGTCAATTGACTAAGAAAATTTCTTGAACTATCTGTTACCGTGATAATTTTATTGGATATTAATGTGGCAACATGGGGGAGAAAAAAGGAAAGGGAGGGATGGGGTTTCTCTTGCTTTTGGCGTAGCAGGCCCCGGTGGGAGGCTCGCACGACGGGCTATTGGCTCACTTGGCTGGGAGGATATAGCTCTGTTGGCAGAGCTCTGCTCTTGCAATTGGGTCGTTCATCAGATAAGAATCTTCATAAACTGGGCTATTTTTAGAGCTTGTCTCTGTTAATCGAGAAATCTATCGATCAATTCCGATTCATTCTTTCTCTCTTGGTTCTTTTCCGATCGAGATGTATAGATCCTGTTCATCGTGAATATTCTTGGCATTGGGATAGCTATTCCACCCATTTCGTCAAGATAAACAAGACGTATTCTATCATAACTCGTTCCTGCCAAGAAAAAAAGTGTAGCACCAATAAATCCCAATAAATGATTCTTTTTTGAATCGTGAAATATTAAACACAAGCAAAATACATATAGCCCTTGGTAAATTTACCAAAGACGAAAATGATTTATTTGATATTATGGATGATTGGTTACGGAGGGATCGTTTCGTTTTTGTTGGACGATTTTATTGGATGTTGATTCCATAATTTTTCTGGTCAAGTAACGGTGTTTTGGATAGTTTCTGTCTAGATGGACCTCAGGTGCATATTTATGAAAGGTTAGTAACCTGCGCCAGCACAAAATGAAGGTTTGGGTAAAGTCTGCAAAAAATGAAAATGTTAAGAAACCCTACTACAATTTTCCCTAAATAATATATATATCTTGCAAAATAGCATAATAATGTTTACTTCATGAAAATTATTATTCTAAATATAATTGGCCAATATTTAGAAGGATTAAATACATAGATTTACGCATCTGAAAATTGCATGACGACTACGGATCAAGGTTAGAAGACTGATTGAAATGTTTGTAAGTATTTATATCGTCCTACTTGAGGAGAAGTGCGCAATCTGTTGTAATCAGCATTTGGTACAATGAATCTTCATTTAACCTATGGACGCTTTCTACCAACGACGCAGTAATTTGACTATACTTGTGCTAGAACTCCATGTAGAATATGAGAGAGTTATTAGTTATCCAAATAGAGGTCATGTCTACATCAGCAACTTAATCCATTTTCGACCATACCTCATATCAATCTATAATTCACTTGATATTGTATCAATAAGATCTGCTTGTATGCACCCTACCAGCACAAGAAATTCAAGTGTATTTGAACCACAACTAATGAACACTGTCTCCATATCTGCATCCAACACACATATAAAATGTCAAATACTTATTTTGAAGTAATATAGGAATGTAGCATTATAATTGGATTGTTCTGCAATAATTATTCGGTGGCCAAGAAATGGATTTCATGGTAGAAAAAATTGGCTTATCCATCATCGAATCACACACCTTTTTGTGAAACTGTAAAATCAATGCACGTTCACAATACAACCAAACATAACACATACAGCCTATATTTCATGATGCCAAAATCTAAATAATAATAATAATAATAATAATAATAATAATAATAAAATCATTGGCATTTCATACTTCTAGCATCATATTCAAGCTCAGGTTATAAAAATTAACAAATTTCGTAATCATATGTACGAGATCAGAATGAATCGATAAAATTTTATAGTTTAAAACTTACTTTTAACAATCACTAAATGTATTGGTTCATAGTATATTAACAATATTATCAATAATTTTTTATATAACAAAAAATGAGAATTTACCTTGATTTGTGAAATTTCAAAACAGTTGAAGAAATCCCCAATTTTGGAAGTAGGAGATGAGCCCATTCGTAACAAGGTTTTGAAACAAATTATATATGATTGCTAGAGATGAAGAAGAAATATACCCATTATTTATTCCATAGCTCTTGATCACATCTTCCATGAATTTTTATTTATTTTTTATTTTTAAATCATGTCTGACTTGAAGAAATAATTAATTGAATTCATCAGTTACAAACCTTATAATATAGATAAATAGCAAAATATGAGTATTTATAGCAAGCAGTATTTTTGGTTTTATTTTACATATTAAATAGTATATTACATATATAATATAATATATAGTATTTCATGAAATTGTTTATTTCTAATGGGTATATACGATTTTTTCCCGGGAAAATTACATGAAACGCCACAAAAAAAATAATATTACCTATTATACTTGCCATCATATTTTTTTCCTAGAAATACTGCTTTTTGAGCAGTATAATGTAAAATCGAAAATAAAAACATTACAACGTGTGGATTAATTTGGAAGGCGTCAATTATGGTCAAAATCAATTAGGCCCCGTTTGATTGCACGAAATTTTCCATGGAACTTGGAATTCGAATTTCAACTTCCACTTTTGGCCTGTTTGATTGACAAAATTTTCCAGGGAATTGATTTTCCATGAATTTCTAGGTACAACACCTTAAAGCGTGATTTTCCACCTTTTTTTTCCTAGGGGATAGATGGTTTTTGGTTTTCTACCTTTTTTTATTTTTTATTTTTTGCTTTTTTTATTTTTTTTTTAATTGTTGGCAATGGGAACAAATTTTAGGAATAATTGTAAAAGAGGATATCCCTGAAATTGACAATTTCCACGTAAAACAAAGTCAAACGAACATCAAAAAATACTTTTACTTCAACATTTTCCACGTGAAAAATTTATATAATCAAACACAATAATTTACAATTTCCATGAAAACAATTTCTAGATAATTCAATTCCTTGGAATTCATTTTCTTTCCATGTAATTTTCCTACTTGTAATCAAACGCACCCTTAGAGTGTGTTTGATTGACAAGGAAAATATCATCTAAAAAAGAAAATATTTTCCATCTTTTGTGGAAAATAAAAACCACCTCTACCCAAGAAAAATATTTTCCTTAAAAATAAGGAAAATTATGCATATTTTCAAAAGTTGGAAAATATTTTCCATGGAAAAAAATAGCAATCAAACACTTCAAGTAGGAATTTGGGTGGAAAACTGATATTTTCCATGGACAATAAATGTAATCAAACACACCCTTAGAGTGTGTTTGATTGACATAGAAAATATCACCTAGAAAAGAAAATGTTTTCCATCTTTTCTGGAAAATAAAAACCACCTCTACCCAAGTAAAATATTTTCCTTAAAAACAAAGAACATTAAACATATTTTCAAAAGTTGGAAAATATTTTTCATGGAAAAAAATAACAATCAAACACTTCAAGTAAGAATTTAGATGAGAAACTGATATTTTATATGAAAAATAAATGTAATGAAACCCAAGCTTAGAGTTTTGCTACCCAATATGTTGCACCTCCCACTAAAGACCCAACCTTTCCTTTTGCATAATACAAGCGATAAAGACGTTCCTGTAAATACAAATTCTTCGTATCAATCAACCAAGAAAACGAACAAAAAAATCAGATCATAGTTTGACTGCCTTACCTCACATACGACGCATTGTTTAGAAAATATTTCAGAAGGAGATATTTTTTCCGTTACACGGTCTTGATTTTTGAGGGTTTGGTTGCGATTATAAAACCAGTTGGTCGTGAAGCGGTTCATCCCGAATCGGAATTGAAGTTGGGTTTCAGATTTGATTGATTTCGGAAATAACTATTCTATCTCTGTCGATTAATGGCATCATTCAGTCGGCGTAAGGCACAACGTTCTGAAATGCTTGGTTTTTCCGTCGAAGACTCTCCAATAATGGGCATTCCACATCGAACACTACCCGTGGGTTCCGTTTTCGTCCCCCAAACGGAACTTGATTGTTATAAGTTGGCCACACCCAGACGGAAGCTGTAGTTGGCTTCCAAAGAGAGAATTAATGCAGGGAAAGCTTCGAAATCTGTGGAGATATTGGAGACCAAAATGGAAGATGCACCTACTCCTGCGCGTCGAATTACACGTTCCATAACCGTTCTTATAGAATCTAAGGAACGGGATTCCCCTCTGAAAGAAGTACTGAAAACCCCAGCCCACAATGAAAAAGGCGAGAAGAGGCCTCCTGGCAACGTAGAAGAAGAAGATGGCGATGCAGTCGATCCCGAAAGTAAGCAAACCCACAACACAGGTATCATATTCGTGGAAAAAATGATAATATGTATGTGAGTACGGTCTGAAACTGGTTATCCTATTTAATCGATTTTTAAGATATATGAACGTGAAATATGTGAAATTTCACAAATTCCGAAATACACCGAAACTATAATGGCCTACTGGAATTTGTGAACTTCGTTTCCTATGTAAGACATATGGGTGCGAATACCAGATTCTGTTAATGGTTTGTTCAAAAAGCATCGGATGGTCTTATGGAATTATGTGAATTTTGTTTCCAATTTACAATTATATGGATGTGAATATTACACTTGAATGCGATGCTGCGGTTGCACGCCTTCTATATGCTACGTTTCTAACAAAAAATTAATTCTTTTGTAATGATGTCAGAACTATTCATTCATCATCCACCCGGAGAATCGATTCGGTGGAACTATCAATGTCTTCTACAAGAACGATGTGATTTTAATACTGAAGGCCAAATTGAACAATATGCAGAAAGAGATGTTCAGAAGTTCTTGTTTTGGGCACTTCCTCCAGATGAGCGAAATGCGGATACATCAAATTATTCATAAGATGCTGATGCTTGAGATCAGGCAACCGAACGAAGATGAAATGTGGTTCGAACTAGATGGGAAGATTCTAAGGTTTTTTGAACTGTTTTAGTCAGCTCATTCGTTTGTTGTTTGATTTTGCTTTATTTATGTGTCGACTAAGTGACAAATTGGTAGCCAGCAAGACTTGCTGCAAATTTTTTTGCGTTTTTGCGAAACGGGGAAGTTTATGTATTATGAAAGATGCTTGTATTTTGGTATTTACTGAATGCTGCACACCAGAATTTGGGGATTGAGAATTTTTTTGGTCGACAAATTGATGAATTTCATATTTTATTATTTAGTGTAGCACCAATCACGTGTTTTTCATATACCAGGTGTCATGATGTCATTGTAATATATATGTTTACTATGAAATCTGATATATTTCATAACACAGATGTCGGACTACCCACATGTAATGCTTAGAAAATATAAGTCAGAAGTTTGTACTTATATTCCTTTTTAGATAGATTGAGCACCAATTGTATATGCATTTCTATGTTGCACCGAAACTATTCCTAGTTGAATAAGCTGTATACGTTTTGAGCATGTTGGTGGTGCACCAAGCATGTGTTTTCATATCCCGGGTGTCATGCACGTTTTTGTAATGTATATGTTTACGAAAGAATGTGATATCCCTTTTTATATACATCGAGAACCATTAGGAATTTGCATTTTTCGGTTGTGCTAACCATATTCTTAGGTGAATTTTAATTATATGTTTCCAACACAGTGGTTGCAAAATTTTTGGTGAGCAAGTAGATTCCATAGGTCTACATTAGCGTAATTGTTTCACGTAATGGAATGGTTTGTGCAATATTCAACGTTTTATCACGGGTGTGATGTTTGCCAAGATGACATTGTAATGTGGAATATGGGCTTCTTCCATGCGACCACACAGCTCTGCATGGTGCGGTCGCATGGACCACTGGAAACGCGGACTGGGATTCCCTGATTCAGTGTGTGCGACTGCATAGCCACTTGTGCAGTGCGGTCGCATGGAGGTAAGTATTAGCCTATTCTTCAGCTGGTTTTTTCACGCGAATCCAAGTTGTTTCGATTCTCAATCCCCTAATGTAAAGTGCCAATTGGCATGTCAACTTCACTCTCTCGAATCCCCCATGGTTCAGACAAGTGTTTGCTCGGCCTTTAATGGCTATTGTGGCCTATCTTGGACCCCATAACATTGAATCAATGTTATAGGGATTAATCTTCTTGTACATAGGGGGATCCATAATAGTGTCCAAAATCGACACAAGGAGCCCCCTGTTGGAGGGGTTCCGGGTATGTACCCATAGCATAGCCCATGTTACAGAACGTAATCAGTCTGATGCGTTCATTACATCATATACATTTAGGTATTTTCTGACCATCAATATCCATATCATTGTTTATAAGCTCCCATAATGACCAGGTGGATTTAATGAAGCTGTTAACAAGTGATATTCGCGCAAATAAACAACTGGGATGACCAACGCACTTTAAATTCCCCATCGTATGGAAATTGAAATATTAAAATTCTAAGGATTGACATAGATTCATAAATTCTGTCATCGTACATTATTCGAAGCAGGAGGCTGGATCTGATGCATTTTTCTGAATTTCGTCTTTTTGGTACCATTAATACTACTAGTTTCCGAACGATTTACCGATTTTTACATGTTCGTGCTTGCATCAGATGCAGACCGTATAGCATCACAGATTCACGATTACAATTCCAACGTTGGTAATCTAAAACACACACATTGTAAGCAGAAACCAAGATCACATCGATGCAGATTTATGCAATTCAATGACGGTGCACTAAAACGAATAGATACATAGTAATTAACTATGATGTAAGATATTCACGTTCCAACAATGTTACATTTGAAGTGGTAATGAACGCATGTGACACTTACCAAGTTTCCAAATGTAGATTATTCTTCTATCAACCACACAGCAAGAATGTAATTCAATCCCCGTGCAAGACAGAGTAGACGAAGCAGTCCAGTGCAAAGGAGAATCTCTGTAATGGAATAATTATGATAGAATTCCAAATCCAACCAGCTGTAATTAAACTGCCTTTATTATCATCCAATCACAGTTACAATTCGTGTATATGGAAAGTTTGGCAGCAAGTATTTTTGGTGTTTTTATGTGAAATGTGTAGTATTATTTAAATTTCGGAATAATTATGGTAGATTTACAAATATTCCAAATTTCTAAGGCATTTACGATTTTTTCCCCCAAAAAAATAGCCATCAAAAGTTAAATGGGCTTGGGGGCAGCATGGGCTAAAGCCCAGCTACGCCCTTGGTATGGCCTATTCAAAGATGCTAGGAATAAGTTTAGCATCATTCCACCACCAGCACCATCTACAAGTCGTATCCAACAGAACATAATTTCAGGTCAGAATCTTCCAGCGGTATTTGTTCTCATTTCCCTGCAACTAACCTTGTTAGAAAATCCTCCATTTAAATAGGACTGTAAATAAAATGATTTTAATTCTATCCTCGTCCCGCCTTGAAAAAAATTCTTAATGGAGCGGGAGATAGACAGGGCCGCTCAACCCCGTCCCGCCCGTAACCTTCCCTAAATATCTGCTTGCACTTCTTCAACCATTGGAGGGTTATTGATAAAAGTCAGAAGCACATGATATTCATATATAGAGAAAAGAAATATAAAACGTTAATATAAAAGAATTTAAACTTTTAAATGAAATGATCGATCAATGCACAAAGTATGAAAATCACACTAAGCAAAAGCTTTTCATCACCAATGCTCAATTGCATACAAACTAACATACAAAAAGTACATAAAATTCGATAAAAACAGAAAATGAATAATTTTATATTTAATTAATAATTTATGAGAAAATAAAATCAGTGCTCAGACAACAAAATGGAGAAAAGTGCATTTTGCCTGCATCATTAACCCATCAGCTGAAAATAAGCATAATTAATCAATTAATTGCTCTCACATATATTTAATTATTTCTTTTCGAAAAATAAATAAATTCCATCCTCATAGATTTCAACCGTTAAAGGTCCAAATATTGAATCGGTAGTAATGGTAAAAATGTTTTTCAAAAACCTAGACATGAATTGCACAATATATTAGTATTACAAATGAAAAAGAGGCCCCCGGGGCATAGTTCAGTGGTGCAAAGAATAGGAGTGAGGTTATCTCATGCCTTGCGTCAAGTTGCAGTGTGGGGGTTCGATTCTTCAAACATGAAATTGGACTCCTTGTAAACGCAGTGTACATACAACTCTTGTTCTCTGGCCTGTTAGGGCACATCCCTCGATTTACCTCCTTCATAAAGTTCTAGGGACGGTTGCGGTGGAGACCCTCAAGATTGGGGTTCAACTTTTTATTTTTATTTTTTTTATTACAAATGAAAAAGAGTGGCCAAATTATACTAGACACAGAAAGCGAGGATGTTACGGCGGTCCATGCTAGGCCACATGTTGAGCTTTACAATTGTGTACTTTTTGGAACGGTAGGTTGGCTAGCAACTTTGTCGAATAAAAAAAATTATTAAAATTTTACTAAACAATCTTTTTGTTTAATTTTTATTAATAAACAAAGAGCATATTCACAAAAAGTTCTAAAAATCGACTTGAGGCGACTCAACTAATGTCGGGTCAAAGTGGTTAGTAAGCTTTGCCATGTCAAGCGTGAAAAATCTAATTTACCATACATTTTTAAGTATTCGTAATTGTTCTTTAACAAGCACGCTTTGATCATATACGAAAAATGTAAGAGATGCTCAAAAGTGTAAATCCATTGGCGATCAAGTGCACTCCTTTCTTTTCTTTTTTCAATGGTAGTTAGTTGTTAAATTAGGGCAATTAGGCAACACTTGTATGAGCATATAATCTCCATAGCTGCATACATCATTGTACTTTCACTTGCACCTATCGTAATGATAAACGGCTCTTGTCTTTATAACCACTTAATTAGTTTTAATGGATTGTTTTAGGCTCTTAATCAAACACCTAACTTATAGCTAAGGGGAAGGTGCTTAAAACTTAATGCAATACAAGACAAAATGGCATGCGGGCTTGTTTTGATTTTAATGCTTTATATATTAGTCCTTATTTGTTAGATAAAAATTAGATTTCTAGTAAACTTTGATAATAGGCAATAGGAATTATAAAATATATGGTTGAAAAATTGTGAATCTCGTGAAATGTGTAATTAAAATGAATCAGGACTTTGACTTCGAACAGAGTTTTATATATTTGTTAGGAGAAAGTCAAATTAGACTTGGTAATTAGGTGACAAAGCGGGCAATGATATTCGTTGGTTTTGTTTAATCTCATTTTATAAAAATTGAAGTGATCTTTCGATCTTTGATGTGATCTCGATATTCTACAAAATCAATGAATTTGTAATTGCGATTCTCTTGGGCTTCATTGCTTTTGAGCATCATCAGCACTTCAATAATGGCTACCAACAATTATGAGGGCTGAAAGTTGACTTCAGTTTGATGACTTTAAGATAAAGATAATCAAAGAAACATTTAACAAAATTATTCTGTTCACCATGATTGCTAGTTAGCTCTCAGAAAACTATATTCACAATCCTAGCACTGGGCACAGGAAAGGAGTGGTATATTCCAAGAATAAACTTTTCCACTATCATAAAAATTCAAGAAAAAAATAAAAAAAGAGTCCACATTCTCCACTCTCTACATTTGATATCTATAAATCATGTAGTTGTCTAGATTCCAAACCTTTCTAGCTAGGTATAAATAGAAAACTTATCAATTATTGAATTAATACGAGCCAACGAATTTGTTAGATGGCTCTCCGAAAAGAAGTAGGATCAAAAGGGCCGTCAAATCCTAGCTCGCTATCAACAATCAACTCACAAGGCTAACAAATTATTGATATATAAGTATATATATTAGCAGTAAAAATCAATTTTTTGGAGTGTGGGTTATCCCAGGTGGTCTTTCTTTTATTTTTCTGGAAATTTCAAGAAACATTTGCCATAACTTCATATACAGTTGGCCTCCCACATATTGATTCTCTGAAGCAATTATTCAGTGGAATCAAATCACACACTGTCATGATTTTTATATTGAGCAATGTCTTAAGAACAATTTATGCTACGCCTTTCAGACCTAAAGTTTAAAAAAATAAATTTATCTATTCTCAAATAGTTTAAGTTTTTATCCGTCGTGATTCATTAAATTAAAAAAAATCCCGAGTTTAAATGTTTAATTCGCAAAATTTTAAATCTATAGTCG